ACAGAGAAAATTCGGATTAGCCAATATCCAGTTTAGTTAAATTAATTATGTAAATTTGGTAATATCATTCTATAGACTCGATATAGGAATATGTTTTTATGCAAAAAGAACAATCTTTAAACTTTTGAAATAGAAGTAGGTATCACATGATTCGCAACAGTATTTTTTTTATTCTTAATATCAAGCTGACCTTGCGTCTAATAGAAAACGGTCAAATTTAATCTCACTGATACTATCACTTATTGATATTGTCTTCTTGATTCTGTGAAAATTTCATTAATTTTCAAATATTAGAAATATGAGAAAAATCCTACCTTAATTAAAGCAAGAGAAATAGGATAATCAGGATCAATGAGGTACATGTAATCAGTCTAATATGGTACATGTAATGAGATCATTAGTTTAATATTTAGTAACAACTCAGAAATTGAATTATGATCGGTCCCCCATTTATCACTATCACCATTCAGAACCTTAACAGGCTATTAGAGCTTTTGAGCAATTTTAACTCCCGCCCAAACATTTCTCAAATTGGCCTCTCTTAGTCTTTGAAGATGACCCATCTTTGTATTCATATTTATCACAGCATACGGGGTTTATATCTCTCAGCTGATTCAATGCGCAGGTGTATGTTCTACGCATGAACATTTTTTTAAAACGAGATAGAATATTAACAAACTGCTGAAACGGGAATATCATCAGTCTCGTTTAAAATCAGCATTTAGTAAGTTCTATGGTTGATAAAATGTCCAATTTATTATGAAGTCAAAAGCTGACTGACGTTTTTCATTTTAATCGGCCACCGTATACACAAAATGTTGTCGACCGATTTTTCCGTTGTTTACCAATCATGATACGGGGCACATGGCGGAAGTGAACGGTCGTGGGGGGTGGGGGTGGTAACTCCTCCATGACACATGATACCATCTCTGATGTTTTGAAAGTCCGTATTTGTTCTGCTCCAAATTTGTGGTATTTGATGTTCTTTTCAGCTTGAATACTTTACATTAATTCCATATATTTCATTAGAAATAGAATTATTTAAGCCATATCATAAAAAGTTTAATAGACAAGGGTTACTGAACATACTCATATTCTTGACAAGTACTTTCCATTTTGATGTAAAACGAATTTTCATGTGCTGGCCTTCTGCGAGCATTAAATTTCAAGAAATATTAATGTACTTTTAGCTTGTCTTAATTATTTGAAATGATACAATCTTAAACAATGTCTCCCTTTGTATATTTTGGTTAACATTGCGTTGCACGTTTTTTTCAAGGAGAAATTAAAAACTTTCAGTGATAAGGTCATTTGAATGATATAATTGTCAAATAGGAATATTAATAATTGATTTTGATTAGATTCACGTGAATAATTACTCTTGATTTGTTTCAAGGAAACGCTTAAGTTGAAATCTTAAATAATTAATTCTAAATATTCAAAAATTATCCTTCTCTTTCTTTTGTTCACGTATGAGCACAACTGAGCGTAGAGTTCAAAAAAATGCCTCAAGCTAGTAGTCTAAACAGAAATATAATGGTTTTAAACCATTATAAGCTCTATTCTTCTGGTCAATCTATGGGCGATGTTTAACTTCGAATGGGATTTGAAAAAGAGCCCATATGAACTCAGATGGTCTGTCGGACAGAAGGATCACTATAGGCTACAAACATCAGCACAATTAGAGCTTCTTTAAAAAGCTTCCCGTCTTTAGCGTCTTCCAAGAAAGATGATAATTACAAGATATTTAAAATTGTTACTATTTAGTCCACCGAATTCTCCAATGATCTGACTCGAAAAAGTTAACCCCCTCCCCCATTTAGAATCAGATGGTCGTCCCCCAGTGGCGTGGATAAAAAACATACTTTTTATATTTATTTTGATGAAAAATGTCGAACTACTTTTCCAAGTCATCCTTTCCCACCTTCGTTATTCAAAGATCAGGGTTTTTTTGCCTTGCTCTGTTTGTTTGCTGGATTTTTGAGATTGGTAAATGTTTTTTTTGATTTTTATATTTTTTACATTAATTTTTTTGCATTAAAAGAAGAAACAAAATATTTTGCGTGACTGAAAAAATGTGAAGAAATTCATTATTTCAACATACAATGTGTAGAGGAATATAAGAAAGTGTTTGAAATATGGTAAAAATTACTTGTGTCAAAAAGATCTAACAAATGTTCTACCAAGTTCAAATCTGTACTTTTAAAAGAATGAGAACTTTACTGATGTAAAAAAAAATATGGCTTCGTTGTGCTATATCATATTATAGAATATTGGAAGCTCTAGTTAGAAAATCGCAGTGTTAAGTCTCCAATATCGAAAAGGGCAATTTTTCTACTCTGTACAACCAGTCCTCATTCGATTTAAAACAAGGGTTAAAATGAAAAATTTTCATTCAACACTCGGTCAGACATCTTAAAAATCTTAGATATCCCCTGACTGATATTATTAGTTTAAAAAGCATAATTATGGGATACGTGGATTGTATAGCTTAGTGTATGCTGAAAACATACATGTAATTTATGTGCATCAAGTAGGGCTCATTATAATACTTATCATAAATGCAGTTCAAATAAAGTGTTTCGCAGTATTATAATTATGCGTCGCAGCGTTCAATTCCGTTGTGCAAATCCTTATTTCCTGAACAGAAAAACTGTTCGTTTAGTGATGCCATTATATAAAAGTGAACATGCAACCAAAAGAGAAAGGGCAAATGTCAACAAGATCATTGCAAAGGTTTTCGTTTTGCTAAATGTAAACTTTAAAAAGAAATGAATAATTCGCCTGCTTCATTGACCTACAGGAATCTACGGCGGGTGTGACCGTCGGCAGGGGATGTTCACTCCTCCATGGCACCTGCTCCCATCTTTGATGTTTTGGAGGTCCGTGTTTGCTCTGCTATTTTGTATTGTTTCATGGACTTTTGAGCTTGAATATCGTTCGTTATTTCCACATATTTGATTTGAATGTGCTTCAAAGGTGAATGAAAGGTCTTCTTAAAAATCTGAAACAAATTTATGAAAACAACGAGCCTCATTCTAATACAATAGCTAACTTAAGGGAATTCTGGTTCTGTTGAAATTTAAGGGCGCATCTTAATGTTCCTTCATGATACAAATATTTTGTGACATTGCTGGATTTTGTTCACATTAAATGTCTGCACTAAATGAACATCAAATAATTAGAAGATGATGTTTTTTGTAGTCTTGGGAGTTAATTATCAAAATTGTCAAGACGTATATTAATGAAGCACAATTAACTGCTGTGGGTCATGTGCATTGAAATGTTTATGTCAGAAGAAAGAAATAATGAGCATTTTATTCTTTTGATCTATTGCATAAAATGACTCTCGTCATATTAGATAACTTGTATTTAAACTTATAATCAATCTCTGCTTTATCAACCACTTGAAGAAGGGACCGAAAAAGTTGTGCTTCTCCTCCACACCTTAACAGAAATTCTTAAACTATATATCTTACAGGATTGATCAAAACAATTAAGAAATATATATATCTCTTTAAAAATAATTAACATATAACATATGACATAATATTTTTATCAATTCGTGTGATTCATTCATTAATATATAATGATCATGAGAAGTTTATATGGCTTTAATTCTATATGTTAAATGATTTGCAAAATTTTACAAGCTTAAAAAATGATTTTATTTAATTCAATTTTGTTTTGAACATATTTTATTGACAATATGTCAAAGGGATCGGACACAAGTTCTAACAACTTAGGTAGTCCTCTCCCATTCAATTTTAACTTATTTAATGGTTTAATTCAAATGTTTCACCTTCCATTTAATGTTATTGTCATGTGAATTCTTTCAAACAAACGTCATAATCTCATTTAATTCGACATTTTAATTTATATGTACATGATTCTAAATCAGAAAAGCAATAAGATAGTGTATATGATGTGTATATTTTTTTGCCATAAAGACATTATCAATTATTCAATGGATTATTTTTATCTGTAAATTTGAAAATATTGAGAGAATTCAGCTGCTTAAGGTCAAACTCCAAAGTTTTGTTTTTGCGAAACAGTAATGAAAGTACTACATGTATCTAATTGGTTCATAACGTTTTATGTCAAAATACTCATTTATGAAAGTGTTTTATATCACTTTTACAAAATTAGCAAAAACAAGCTGCGGTGATCTTGCCTATAAGCATTAGAAGACATAAAAATACTTATTGTAATCAATTCATATTCATCATATTTATTTAATGATTTTCGTTCTACAACATTTAAACAACTAGATGGAAGGCATTCATCAGCAATTACTTGCTTGTCCATATAGTATCATGTCCTATAACCTACTTATAGGTGAAGCCATACACAGTGTACATTAAGAACATTATTTATCTTTATACTTGTCAAAAAATTGTTAAGTGACGTTTTTGAAACATGCACTATAAGAGGAGTTCAGTGCACTTTAAAATTTCGAAAGAACTTTTAATGCTTTCAGATTTTTTTTTCGGTTCCTATTTAATGATTTCGTAATATTAGATATAGCAATATGGTGGAACATTCTGTTATAAGTTGATGAAAGCTCATTCACGTAATGTATAATTAGTTTGTGAGCCTTATAAGATATAATTTTCAACACACTTATTAGGTCTTCAGACTATGCATTTTGTTGCAAAATTGATACAACAAAAAGTCAGCATATTATAATATTATTAAGTCATATGCTGACTGTGGTTTCTCATATTAGAATAGTGTTTATACTTTGAATTTTCGAAAGATGTTTCCTTTATTTACAGATCATGACAAATTGCACACGATGCGTGTGACCAGTCAGCAGGAGATGCACACTCCTCCATGGCACCCGATCCTACCTCTGGTGATGTTTTAGAAGTCCTGGTTTTTAAGCTCGCATATTGTTCATTATCTCTATTTATATGATTATGCATCTACTTTTTTCTTTCTCAATGACATAAAACAATTCACGATTAAAAAATAATAAGGTTAGGTTCATTATTTAAAAATGATTTTATTTCTCAATAATCAATAATAATTAGAACTTTCTGACAGTGTTCACAGCAAGTCTGTCAAGTTTGAATTCTGTCATATCACAGGACGACTCTGTGTTTATTCTGACTGTTCTAGTAAAAGTTCATCTAGGAACTTCTGTATGTTCATTGTTTATGTTTACAATCGCATATGATTCTGTTTTCTTTAGATTAATGCTTCACCACATCAAAACCTCTTCATTTGACTTTTAAGCTGACTTATTTCCCTTTTCCAAAGACTCTTATTCTCGAAATCGAAACAAAAAGGTCTATTGAAAGAGTTCTGCCAGCTGTGAGGGAGAAGGCTGTGGAGATCCTCCGAAGGGAACGGAAAGTATTATCACTTTACACAACTCTTTCAAGAGAATTTGGTAATCCGTGAACTTTTTCTAACACTGGGTAATCTTTTCATTTTCAGGCTTATTTTTCTCACTAAGTTAGGTATTTTCTTTTCTTGTTGCTTTTGATACGTGGCAATTTCTTCTCTTGAAATCTGATCAATATTTTCTTTGATCTTGTAATCTGGAAGAAAGAAAAAATGTGTCAACATAGTAAATTCTTGGTTTAGAAATATATATAATCTTATGCTTGATTTGGTGTAATATGACAATAGAAATACCTACCACATTGAAGAAGGATCTTGATGATTCTAGAGCAGTCTCTCCTTTCTCCACTAGTAATGTGGAACATTGCTGACTGACCTAAGTCATCCACACTGTTAACATCGCTACCGTGTTTGATTAAATATTCCGCTATTTCAAATTTTCCCTCTTCCAAAGCAAGCAGTAACGCAGTCTTGCCTAAATTGTCGATTGTGTTCACATTAGCACCTGTAAATCAAAGAAATAAAAATTAAAATTTGAATTTTTAGTTTAAAGGGGTTGTCTGGCATGTTCTTTCTTCTTAGAAATGTATTTACCTGCTCTGATAAGATGCCTTATCATTCTGATATCATCCATCTCAACTGCTAACATCAAGGGTGTTCGGTATTCCTGACTTGATTTGTCCAGATCACATTTACCTGTAAATTATAGATATACAAATGTAATTCAGATAATGCAAAACCTTGCAAGAAAAAAAATCATTTTGACATTTTTTTGTTTCTCATACATACCATGCGTCAACAAGGCATCTAACATGTCAACGTGTCCATTAACTATCGGTGTGAATAACAGTGGGTCACCATTGTTGTCGAAAATATTTGTACTTATTCCAAAACGCAACAACTTCATTAAATTCTTTATATCCCCGTCATAAACAACTTTCAGCATCAGTTGCTCAAATGACTGGGTTTTATTCTCCATTTTGAATGAGGACCTACGGTTGTACAACTGTATATGGTTTAAAGACAATTTATAGTGTATAATTCTTTTTCCTAAGCTCCTTTTATACCTCTTACACAAATTTGCATATCTTGTTTAACAGTATCTTGCTTGTTCATGATTGGATAAAAGGAGCCTATTAAAATGAGATGTCTGTTGTGGTTAGCATGTGATCATGAGAATTAATTATCTATATGTTTTATAATAATTAAATAGCCCATAATCTTTAATTGGTATAATTATATGAAATGCATAATTTGTCTCGACGCTGAATGTCACAAAATAAATTTACTTTGATGATTGTTTAATTAATGTCATTTACTGACGTTTAATTTAACTCAAACGAGAACAAAATGAATGTTTTATGGATTGTTTATGTTGTTGGTTTTTTTTAATTCACGTCCACGAGACTAAGTGGTGTCTAGAAAATACCCTAAAGAATTAGTAATGCGACAGAATTAGACAAGAGGTTTAACAACATTTGCTCTGTAGCTGATTTAAGATCTTTGTGATATCTAAACTATCAATGATGTTTTACTATTTTTCTAATAATTTTTAAAAGGGATGTTACTTTTTGGACGATGCTTTCTCCTATTCCGCACGTTATCTTATATTTTGGATTAGCACGCGTGCTTTCTAGTTTTAATAAAATTGTAACTATATAAGATCCTGTGGCCATCTCAACAAAACATTTCTCGCAAGTATGTAAATTGTTGTAGGTCACAAAAATTACACATTTACATTATAAATTAAATTAAATTTATAGGTTTATAGCTGTCATTTTTATTATCTTCCTTTGATTTAAAATTTTCTCTCAAGAAAAATTTAGTTTAACTGAAGTTCATATCATTAATGTTTAGATAAAGTAATAAGGAAAAACATCTATAATATATGTGACCTTCTAAATGCATGCAGAGAAATCTCACATATTTTCATGACCTATTTTATTTAAATTTGATATAATAAAGCAGTTATGGCTGACTGATTTCGGAACGCAAAAAGGAATTGTCACTACAGAAAATCCATTTATTTGAATTCCCAAGGGTTAACTCTTTTGCAATATAAATAAAAGAACTGGCTGGGAAAGTAAATTTCATCTTCCTGTGAACATTAATTTTCTTAAATTCTTTAAAAGCACCTTAATGAACGAAAGTTGCCAAACATGACACATACGTGTTATTTCTATATATTATATAACTTTGTGAAATCCGGTAATCTGATTGGTCAATACGAAGTAATTATTTCTTAATAACGACCGCTGAAAGCGAATAATGACTCGCACGAGCTGTCTCGTTTTCACTTTCGCTTTAGACAAACATGGAAGTTTGCAAGTTGTGGGAGAGGAAAATTCAAAAGATATAGTGAAGAACTCTGAGACTGAGAATACAAAACAATATTACAAGGATATCTGTGAACATTTTTCGGGAATACTTAGCACATAACATTTCATGGTTGAATTCGACTTTTCCACTCGGCGAGCAGAGTTTTGACGCTGTTTTCGCGATTACGGAGACTAAAGAAAATAAAGACGAGCGTGCCATGTATGATTGTATCTTATCGTAGAAGACATAAATATTTATATTTTGTAAGTGCATATAATTTCCTCTGCAAGTGTAAACGAGTGCAATTCTCAATCTGGGGGAGGGGGTACTCTGTGTTATTCGGAGGTAGATATCTTGCGTTATTATCATGCTATGGGTTAAAATTTATTACCGAAGCAAGTTCCTCTGAGTAACATTCAATAAATTCTGAAACATTTACATTCAACTTATTAATGGTTAATTCTATCTCTGTAAATATTAGGAAGATATACATTGAATTGTATAAATAAATTTGGGAAATTATTATTTATATAATATAATAAATATGGACTCAATGTAGGTCAATATGCATTTATAATGACCCAGGATGACAGATATTGACCGAAGATACATGGAGTATATCGACCTCGGGCTAGCGCCCTCGGTCGATATACTCCATGTATCTTCGGTCAATATCTGTCATCCTGGGTCATTATAAATGCATATTGACCTACATTGAGTCCATATTTGTATAATAACACATACGATTGCCTAATTTTTGGATCATTAAAGAGGATGTGGTTTAAGTATTCAAAGATTTATTTAAAATAGATTTTCGCTTACTAGAAATGTGAGCTAAACTATTCGAATTATTTAAATACCTTACGAACATAACTCAGAATTTGTATTGATGGTTTCCTTCATTCTTGAAATGATTACTCTACATATATTCTCGTTCGTTTGTGGCTTGAATACAAACTGTGATATTGAAAATGAACCTATTTCGGCTCATCTCATTTACATAATTTATATAATTATGAAATTATAATTATTAATAAATTATATAATTTATATATAAAAATCAATGAAACATTATCATTACCATTAAGTCTGTGTCATGTAATCTGATTATATAAATTGTTGTATACTTATAAAGAGTGCTGGCGTCTCCCCATGAGTGAAATATTCTCGATATGAACATCAAACAACAACCAAACATAAACTAGAATATTTATACAGCAGTTAAAAAAGGTATACATAATGCAAGAAAAAATGAATTTATTTTTCCTCAGTTGATAAACGTACATTATCAAAATCTGGACAGCTTATGCACTCGAACACTACATGTAAAGAGAAAGCGACTGTTTTCATAAAGATCGTCTCAAAATTTTATCCCTATATTCATCTATCTTGTCATGTAAATTATTTTGTTAATATTTTTCATTTAATTATAGTGGCATGATATTTCTGCCTCCTACATACAAAATAAATTATGTTAACATGCCACATAATTATGTAGACATGCAACATATTTATGTCAACATGCAAATATTTATAATTGCTGTGTTTTTCTAGTAAGCCAACTATGAAATTGATTTGAAAACCATTTTCGTGTATCCTATACTCACGCTTCGAAATACACACGGAGAAACGTGCGCTGTACGTGACGTCACAATGAGTCTACAGTTAGTAAAAGTAAAACGATATAGGGCAGCCAGAAATTCAAATATTGAGTATAATTTGGGTGCTTCAAAACTTGTAAAATGTAAATATAAGGAATGCGCGCTTCATGAAATATGCCTATGTGATAAGTCTGTGGGATTCACACACCAATAACTCACAAAAAACTTAAAAACATTCCTTAAAGTAGGATTCTTCTCTGGTTTCTGATTAGAGGACTATTCAAAGAACATTTGTTGATATGTCTTATATTTTTAGATGTAAGAGATTTAAAAGACCATATTTTTCTTTCCTCATCACAATTATACAGCTTTAAGGGGGCCGACTATAGTTTCCATTGCGCAATATTTCGCGCATCATAGTAAAATGAAGCGTATTTACAGTTTTAAAGCAAAATTTTTTGTTTAATTATAGGTTTAAAAATGTAATTACAATTTGATATAACTGAATTTTTAACCGATTTTGCGATTGATAGGTAGGTTGACGTTGCTGCAGTGTCTTTTTGACGTTACGTTAATCTGAAGCTCTTAAAGAAAGGGGTAATAAAAATATAATTAAAGAAAAATAATAAACATACGCTCTTAAAATTTAAAACATAGAATTTTTAGAATATTTCTAATATTTTTATTATGTTTTCATGTGAATCTATTGTACCCGTCTGTAGTACTCTATAAAAATAGTAAAATTTGCTAATTTTTTTTGCATTTTGAGATGCCCCCTCTGTTAACAAGACGGTAGAATTTTGTGTTTCTTACATATATTGTATAATATAGTATTACTCATAAGATATTATAGATTGAAGAAAATGTCTATTGTAGTATTTGTATAATTTGTGTTAAAGTGCTAAAAATTGGCATTTCCTTATCTACATGTAATCCTATAGTAAATGTACCTGTATTTTGAGACGAACCCTCAAAAATACATGGACGGTAGATTTTCTCTAAACTTTACATTACATTGAAGTTAATGTAAATTATATATGGTAAGAAGAGTTTCGCTATTGTAGTTTTCACACAATAAAACTATAGTCGGTCCCCTTAAATAGAAATGCTAAACTGCGTTTGAAAACTAGCAGGGAGTATATTTTTGACGGAATGGTGGCGTATGAAAAAGATTTTTCACACATACTAGAACTATGTTGGCTTTTAAATGCTTCACATCTAAGTACAAATTTGAGTCAAAAATCCGTTAAAAGTCTTATTTCTCTCTTAGTAAACGATCAAAACTTTTAGATTTTGTATCATTTTGTACCTTTAAGTGACAACTTTACTATATGTGAAAATTAGAAAAACTTAAATAAAGGAAGCATATAAAAATAACTATAAATCCTTCAAAAATAAGAAAAGTAGAGGAAATTCAGATTAGCAAATATCCATTTTATTTGAATTATCCATGTCAACTTGGTAATATCATTTTATAGGCCCTATATGGTAGTGTCTTCTTATGCAAAAAGAAAAACATTCAATCTTTTGAATTACAAGTAGGGATCGCATGATTGGAAACAGTAATTTTTTTTATTCTTAATGTCCAGAAAAAAGGTAATGACCTTGACCTCACCTTGCCTTTAATATTAAACGGTCAAATTTAATCTCACTGATACCATCACTTAGTGATATTGTCCTCTTGCTTCTGTGAAAATTTCATTAATTTCTAAATACAAGAAATGTGAGAAGAATACTACCTTAAGTAAATAATGTTGAAATGCACGTGGTCAATCTAATCTAACAATTAAACTTGCATGGTTAACTGTTTGACTGCAAAGATACTTTTGCCTCCCTCTTCTAAAGCAAAAACAATTGCTCCATATGAATCTAACTGTTGATGAAGGATATGGAGATTACGAACAGTATTCAATATCAAAATCCATAAAACAATACAAAATAGCAAACACGGACCACGAACACGGAGGTAGGATTAGGTGCAATGGAGTAGTGAGCATCCTCTGCTGTCTGGTCCCACCCGCCGTGTGCTCTTTGTCATGATCGGGAAATAAAGGAAAATTCATCGTCAATTCAGTGTATAAATAATGGACTAACAATTTGTATGGAAAACGTCAGTCAGCATTTGACGCAATAAGAAATTGTATTTTGCTGACAAGGTCATTGTATCGACCATAGATCTTACGAATGAGGACTTTAAATGAGACTGTCGATATTCTTGTTTCAGCAACATGTTTGTCGTCAATAATGTGCCTTGTTTTATACATCGTTCATACGTAGAACATGCTCTTGTGTATCGAATCAATTGGTCATCCATGTGGCGCAGTGCTTAGAGCGTCTGCTCTAAAGACGCGAAGTAAGGACCCTTAAGTCGCGGGTTCGAATCCCACTGTGGGACATGGAG